GCCCCAATCCACCTGCCTCTTGAGTTTGGCTCTGAAATTTTGGAGGCATTGAATTAGTAGTTCCCTTAAGACACCCTTGATGCAGGCCCTGGGGCTCTCTGGGGGTATTAAGTGCTCTTCCATTAGCCCTACTACGTGCTGGGCTCAGAACCAGTGTGTTGTGGGGTGCAAGGGATCTAGCTGGGCACCCCCAGCAGCCCAGCCTTCCTTGTAGCTGGGGTCAGCAGGGCCAGCTAGGGCAGCCTTACCGCCCACGAGGCCCGGCTCCCTGAGGCCACGGAAGCCAGGCTGTGCTCTGGTGGTGACAGGCCGGGCTCTTCCTCATGGTGCAGATGGCTCTCAGGCTGGAGGGAGCTGATCTGCCCCTTGGAAACCCAGGAAGACAGGGACAGGTGGAGAATGCTCCTTTGCCCTCAGCTGTGGATGGTGGGCTAGGGGACTGGGGGCTCCGGCCAGCTCTGTGGTCAGCCTCTGTGGCTGGCATGGTCTTTGCAGGATCTATCCACAGTGCTGGGGCTGGACTGAGAGCTGAGGTTGGCAGAGCCAGGGGTGGGTGTGCCGGGCACTGGGGGTGGGTAGAAAAGGACAAAACGTCCAAGAGCCCTCCCCTGCCCTTGAGCTCTGGCTGTCCTGGGAGGTCGAGGTGCACACGGGGCAGTCCTGGTGCGGAGGCAGTCTGGTGATGATTTGGGGTTTTTCACATAGACTTGTGAGCCAGGGGCTGTGTGTTCCCAGGAAAGGGGACCCAGGTCCAGCGATGCTCAGTGGTGAGGGCCTGGGCAGGACCTAGCAGGTCGTAAGGAGAAGACAGACACCATATCTGTTCTGGAGTATCTGGGATGCAAGTTCTGGGAAACAGACTGGATTACCAGGAAGGAGGCTCATGGCGTGTGCTCTCAGGAACAAGGGCTGTGGGCGAGAGAGGGCAGAGAAGCCGGCCTGGGAGATGGTTCCTGAGTGGACTCAGGAGCTGGGGTGTTCCTGAGACAGGGGAGCTGTTTTTCTTTCTTTTTTTTTTTTTTCTTGGTACTGCAGATTTGACAACCCAGGGGTGCTTAACCATGGAGCCACATCCCCAGACTTTTTTAATATATGTTTTATTTAGAGACAGGGTCTCTCTGAGTTGTTTGGGGCCTCGCTAAGTTGCTGAGGCTGGCTTTGAACTCACGATCCTCCTGCCCCAGCCTCCCAAGCTGCTGGCACTACTGGTGTGCTCCACCATGCCTGGCTGGGAGCTGGTTCTTATATCTTCACTCTGGTCAGTAGTTGGAGGAAGGCATTTCCTGGAGGCTCGTGACCCTGGGTAAGGCAGCCGCAGAGGCCAGCACCCAACACGGACACACCCATCAGAGTCACTGATTGTCATAGGTGTGGAGACTTCGAAACCACACATTTTGATAATTAGTCTCTTTTGTGGTGCTGGGGAGTTGAATCCAGGGCCTAAGACCACATGATTAATTGACAACCCAGAGCTCGGGGACAGTGGGAAGTGGGGTGACTGGGGTGGGGGAAGCATTCCTGAATTGTGCTGTGATTCTGGACCAGAGATTTCCCCCTCTTTTGGACTAGTGGGTGAGATGAGGAAGAAAAGGTGGAGAGACCCTGGGTCTGGCGTTGAGGAGGACTGGAGCCAAGGGCTTGATGGGGCTGCTGCTTAGATGTGAAATGTGAAAGGTTTCTCGTGCCTGCAGTGAGGGTGTCTGAGGTGGGTCTCAGTAGTGTTGGTGACAGTAATGGGGAGAGCTGGAGGATGAGGGAGTAGGGATGGCCCTGGGGGGCGCTGGGGTATGGCAGCCAAGGCAGGGCAGAGGTGGGTGGAGGGCCAGAGATGCCCCACCTGGCTCCATCCCAGGGAAAGGCAGCCCCAGGCTCCGGAGCCCAGTACCATGCATGGTCTTGAGTCCATGGGACTCAAAAAGACAGGCAGAGCCAGGGAGCTGGTGGAGGGGCCAGGACAGTGTCGAGTGGCCCTCTAGGGAACGCAGACTCTAGCTGTAAGTGCAGAAACCAGCGTGCTTCCTGGACGCCCCTGGTAGGTGAGTTAGAATGAAAGGCATCTAGGTGGGGCCTGGACTCGCCCCAGGTATTTAGTCAGTGACTCTGATCACACGCATGCCCCCATAGGAGACAGAGGAATTTACAGTCCCATCCTGCACTGTGCACAGAGATGAGCCCCCACACAGTGCAGCCAGGGTCTGCTCAGTCAGTGAAAGTTCCTGGTAGCTGAATTTCAGCCTGGAGTGGTCCAGCATCTCCATGGAAACATCATGCACACACACCCTCTCATCCCTGAGCTGCTAGGAAGTGATGGGCAGGTGCTGTGTCATGAATCAGGCCTGGATGGGGGCATAGGCAGCATCAGAAATGACTGGCAGAGGGACAGAGAGGTGGTGGGGGTGGGGAACAAGGGGAGGGTCATCAGACTGGGTGCCAATCCAGCAGCTCAGCTTGGGAGAAGGAGAAACTGCTGATGCTCCTCACCTCCCACCTGTTGAGTGAGGGGGTGACTTGGAGGGCAAGACTTAAACCCCCTAAGGAGCAGTTTTGGTGAAAATTTCCAGTGGACCCAAGAAAGACAGCTGGGGCCAGCTGCCCGCAGGAGGAACACACCAACTTCATCCAAATTAACTGAACAAAAGGTTTTTATTTGCACATGGCCACTCCGCACATAGTGAGCAGTGACCATCCCAGACAGCTGCCTGCCAACAAAGTGAGAGATCTGTGGTGGCTTTTCCAGATACCAGGGCAATGACAAAGTGACCAGGAGACAGAGATGGGGTTTTCTCCTCTGTGGCTCCCGAAGACCACGCCCACCCAGGAGTGGAAGGACTGAGGCACGATTTCAAGCCCCAGACCCGTCAGGACAAGACCCGTTCACAGAGTAATTTATTCGTTTCAAAGTGACAGTGGGCAGTTACTGGGCTGTGCGGACATCCTGCCTGGATCCGGGAGGAGGGCAGCCCCTCCGGGGGAGAAACACCACCGGAGCACAGCTCCCTTTAGAAAAGCATTTGCTCTGAAGCACCTTGGTTTGACCTTTCCGTGTGCACACGGCCAGCTTTCCTTGGAACATGGTCCAGGAATGCGAGGGCCTTCCAGGTTGCGTATCTGGGGGTGCTGCAGGCCCCGCCCCCCCAGAGGGGGCCTCTCAAAGGTGAGGGCATCCGTGTTCATTGTCCAGAAGGGCTGGGTTCAAGGTCAGATCATTCCAAAGACAGTTACTTTCCCAGGAAAAAGGAAACAGCTTTCTCATGTTCCTCAGGGAGGGACGGCCTCCAGACACATGCCAAAGTGGGCCTCCTCATCCCGCAGGGGACACGGCGTGACGATTCCACCTTGGCTTCCGGGGAACTTGTGTCTCGTCCAGATGGCGAAGCTGAATCCTGAGCTGGGGCCGGCGCCCTAGTGGTAATAGATGCTGAAGGCGTGGAGGATGTACAGCAGCGTGGTGATGAAGGCGAAGAACTGGAGAGGGCCAGGACCAGGCCGTTAGAGGGCCGGTGCCAGCGCCCAGGAGGCCCCAAGCCCTGACCCTCCTCAGTGACCCCCCACCCGGGGGCAGCCACCCCGGCCAGCTAGCTGGATCCTGGAGACTCTCCGTCCCTGGGCCTCCCTGGGGCCACACTCTCCTGGTGTCCTGCTCTGAGCGGTGCCAGCTCCATCTCCACCCTCAGGAGGGTCCTCGACACCTGGCCATCCAGCTGGCTCTCCTCCCGCTCAACTGTGGTCCTGGGCACTGTCTCCTGGCCCCCTGCAGCCCTGCACCTGTGGGCCCTGGTGGCCTCCGCATTCACACTTGATGGCCCACAACTGCTCTGAATGTCTCGGTGCCCCAGCTCTTAATGGCCCAGCCTGAACTGCTGGCATTTCCACAAGCTCAGTCGGCCCCCGACTCTCACCTGGTGTGGTGACCTGTGCCACGAACCTGTGACCCTCCAACTCCCTGGCCACCACCACGGCAAAGCCAGGGCAGAGTCTGCGGGTCTCCCTGCCTGGCTGGCTCTTGGCACCGGCTCCTGTCTCAGCCTCATCATCCCTCGAGAGGATTCCCCACGCCTCATCTTGACTCCTGTTACTCTGCTCCCTGATAATCCGCCACAACAGGGAAGTGCGACAGCTTCAGACCCTCCTTGGAACCACAGCGGCTCTGCTCCCCTCTCAGGCAGAGGCCATCACCAAGACCGCCGGGCACTGGCCTCGTCCCTCATGCCCGGCTGTCCTCACTCGCGCATTCAGCAGTCTCTGGAGCACCTGCTCTACGTCGGGCACCACTCTGGCTGTCACAGTGAACAGGACGCCAGAGAGCTCCTGCCGCCCAGAGCTTACACTGTAGCAGCAAGAAGCGGAAAGCAGGCAGGACACACAGGCACTGCGGACAGCACCCCAGATGTGCCCTTCCTCCTGGCATAGCCTGTGATCCAGGGGAGCTGCCAGGCGGACTCAGTTCTCCTCCGCCTTTCACCCCTGGACAGGGTCCAGCAGCACTGGCTCCACCTTGGAAGTTCCCTCGGGGACAAGGGATGTCATTGTGTGCTCCTGCCACACGGGGGCACCATTCCACAGAGAAAGGGCAGTTGAGGTGCCTGGGACCAGGGAGGACCCCAGCGCCAGATGCCCAGGGTCCTGCTCGGCCCAAGTTTGGTGGGACCACCTGGCCTGGGCTTTGGTCCGCCAACAATGCCACCCCATGGACTTTGGTTACTGAAACAAACGGACATGGGGACAACTTAGCTGTGCCAGGGACTCTGGCTTCATTTCAGAGCAATGGGGGGCATGGAGGAGTGTTCAGGGGGGAGAGACTATTCAATCTGCACTTTGGGAAAATAAATTCTGCCTACTGTGGTGGATGGGACAGGCAGCGAGCGAGGCTGACCAGGATGGACAGAAGCCAGAGAAGGCCTGGAGCCTGGGCATGCGTGTTTTCTCTCTCTCTCTCTCTCTCTCTCTCACACACACCCATACACACACACACACACACACACACACACACACACCCCTCCTGCAGCTGGAGAGCTCAGGATTATCTGACACACGTGGGGCAGATTGAAACCTCACGCAAAAATACCCTCCATTTGGGTGCGGTGGCACATGCCTCTCAACCCAGCGGCTCAGGAGCCCGAGGCAGGAGGTCCACAAGTTCAAAACCAGCCCCAGCAACCTGTGGGCCCTAAGCAACTCAGCGAGATCAAGTCTCAAAATAAAAAATTAAAAGGGCTGGAGACGTGACTCAGTGGTTACTCACCCTGAGTTCAATCCCAGTACCCCCCCCCAAAAAAAAGCCCTCCCGCTGTGGCTGTCCTGCCCTGCCCGGCTGGCCCGGCCCACTCACCGAGGCGGTAGTGTTGATGAAGTAGTTTTTCAGGTCCTTGGACTCAGAAACGATGGTGGCATGCGCCTGCAGGACAGCAGCGCTCATGTACAGGATGCCCGTGGTCCCGTGGTACAGGCTGTCCTGGAAACGCAGAGCAGAGGCCACCGCCACCGTCATTTGGGCAGGCACCTTCCTCTCTTGTGACACAGCAGAGAAGAGTGAGGAAAGGGGTGAGGTCCCCCCCCCAACTCCTGCTGCTTCTCTGCAGAGTTTCTAATAAGATATTTATGTAGCAAATAACAGTGGAGCAGTGACAGCAGTGCAGGTCCCAGGCCCACGGGCGCTCGCCCAGGGCCTGCTCGGCACCGGGAGTGTTTCTTGGCAACACTCAGTGTTGGTCTCATTTTAAGGAGATGGAAGCTCAAGGTTAAGGCCAGGTCTGAACGGAGGCTGATTAACTCCCGGCTTTGAACCACTGGCACTGTGCTGGGCACAGAGGGATCACTGCCCACCTGTCAAAGCCCTCCGTGCCAACTTCCAGCCTACAGTCAACTCAGTGAAGAGAGCAGAAAGTCAGATCACACCAGGAGAAGCACACACACATATCCAAAATAGGGTCCCCTGTGGAGGACAGTGGACCTCCTCTCTCCTAGAGGTCAAGAGCAGGGCCAGATTTAGTCAGTCTAGATTGAAAACACCCAAGAAACTTCACAACCAAGGCACACAGGGCCCCTTGGGAGGATCCAGCTCAAACAAGCCAAGTGCAAAAAGACATTCCAGAAATAACTGGGAGATCTGAAGGTGACCTTGGTCTTAATACACCGAGTTGTTGTTGACTTGGTGTGTGAAAGCTTGTGAGAAAGTCTGTGTATGTTTTGGGGGATCCAGACATGTGTGGAATAGCATGACAGTTAGGCTGAAATTGCTTTAAAATTCTGCAGGGGAAAAAATAAAAAGTCTGAACAAAGCCAGCGTGGTGAAATCTTGGTAATTCTGGAATTTGGGCTGTGAGGGTCCCAATGTAATTCTCTGTTCTTTTGTCTGTTTTCAGCTGCTCAACACACAGCACTTCCAAATGGTTAACAAGATAATGGGGCAACGTGAAAAATCAACGATGCTGTATCAAATGCAAGCATCCACACCATGCTGCTTGCTCAGTGTGATTCAAATGCATGTCCATTTTGCACAAATCCATGTGGCACAAGAGAGGATGAGCTGATCAGTGAGTGTGACAAGCTATTTTTTCCCTACTAGCATTTTATTCAACACTGCTGCCATGATTTATTTTACCATGACTCAAATTGAGGAAAAACACATCAGAATATTGCTTCTGTTTTGTGGATTTGTTTATGAAGAGGCAGAGCCTCTCACTGCTGCCCAAGCTGGCCTGAAGCCCTGGACTCAAGCCATCCTCCAAGTAGCCTGAGGCAGGCTGAACGGCTGCACCCAGCTCCCAGACAGTCTTAATCCAGGAGGTGCAGACATTGCTAGCAGGGAAGGTGGCGGAGGGAAGACAGGAGAGGTCTACTCTTGCAGAGGTCTGGCTTCATAATTCATACACTAAAAGCACCAGCCTTAGCTCAATAAGGGTCCAGCCCAGGCAGGGCCTCTGATCCCAGCTCTCTGGTTCTCCCTCCCCAGCCAGAAGGGCCCGTTGTGCCCACAGCTCCCAGGACACCAGTCCAGGGCGCCAGCCCTGATCCTTACCAGCACTCTCCAGGACTCAAATTTTTTGTAAAATCCAAACAAGTAAGACAGCAGGAACATCAGGGTGATGAGAAAGGAGGTCAGGGAGACGTACATCACCCATCCATGAAGCAGCGGGTGGGCTACGTGGGTGGCCGCTACCAGGATCCAGACCCAGCATCCAAATGCCTGTAAGAGAAAAGCGTGACATGAGGGACACCGCACCATGTGGGGTGACATGTGCCTTCAGAGGGCGTTTCTTTTCTCCCGTCTCTGGTCAAAAGCTCCATTGAAGCTGGAAGGACCCAGGAGGGAACAGGGAGGAAAGGTGGCCTTTCTGAGCCATGGTCAAGTTGGATCCTGTTAGAAAATTCAAGGGGCTGACCCAGAAGTTCAAAAGGAAGACTTCCCATCAAGTCCGGCTGTACCTTTTGAGCTCAAACGGTGTTGGCATGTTCAGTTTTAAAATATTCTGAATATGTCGCCAACATTCAAACAAGATTTTTCACATGAAAAAAAAAATCTAGATTTTGGATATTTCTTGAGAAATACATGGTTTTGGCCACAGCATACCCATTTCTCAGGCTAGAATGTGTTGTGATTGTCTCTTTAGAAAGGTCCTGAAGTCCCTAGTGGACCACATCCCCCTCCCCACCAACCCCATGCCGTCTTCTGGACTCGCCCTGTTGCTCACCTACATGGTGGCATAGCCCTCTCCTTCCATGGCTCCTGCCCCCCACTGACCCTAAGGGCACATGGTTTGAAGCCCTAGGTCAGAGCAGCTGATGCCCTGAGACCCACCCCCAGTTGGGTGACAGGGTTCCAGTTTGACAGCCTCCATGCTCTGCCCTGAGATTTGATGCGCCTTGGGTAGATTTGGTGCCTTTACCTCTCCCTATCCTCTCTGGGCTCAGCTTTTGTTTGCTTTTAGGCTGGGCTGGCCCCTGTGTTGGTAGCCAGGGTAGGAACTCAGTGTCCAGCTAGAGGCCTGGGGGAGAAGGTCAACCAGACACGAGGTTCCGTTGCCCTTTGTCTCCTGCCTTCTCAGCCCTTCCCCTTCCCCTGCTTAGGATGTCCCTGCAGCCTCCTCCCATGTCCTGATCTTGGTCCTGTGAAATCTGTACTTTTAAACACCACCCTGGCTGGTGATCTCATCATCTCACCTCTGCCCACTTCTCCCTGTGGCCTTCAGCCCCAGGCAGGCACCTGCCCATCAGATGTCTCTATGTGGAAGTCCCTCTGCAGGGCTGACTCTGCACTTGCCTGCTCTTGAGAATATCCATTAAAGTTTGCACCCTGTACCTTGCTTGCCCTACCCCAAGCCTGGACCTGCCCCTCAAACTCCTCAAATCCAACAGGTACAAAGTCTGAACTCATGCCACTCCCAAATTCCTTCAGAACCCACTTAGCATGACTCATCTGGGAGAGAGAATAACAGGATTTAGCATGAAGGAACAGAGGCTCCTGGAGAAGATGGCTATTTATTACAGCTCATCGTGGGCACACAGCACTCATATTTAATAAAGCAATAAAATGTTTTTGAAAAAGATAAGAGCCTGTCAACTGTGAGATTACTGGAAATGTGTGATGATGGCAGAAAGGAAGGGAAGGGACTCAAAGGTGACTCTCGAATACGTGGTTTGGAAGAATCACATGACCAGACTTTAAAACTTTCTATAAAGCTGCAATAATCTGAAGAGTTGTGAGTGCATGTGATTCTCAGGAGAATTTCTCAGGAGACAGCTCATCTCCTTACCTAGTTCTGCTCCAGAGTTCACATAAATTTTAGAATCAGCTTTTTAGTATCTTTTAGCATCTTTTTAGTATCTTTTTAGTATCTCTCTGATGAGATTTTTATTGTTAAATCCCTAGATGAGTTTGCAGAGAACTGACATCTTTTACTATGTCTCGTCTTCCAATCCATGAACATGGTATGTCTCTCCTATTATGAATATGTTCTTTGACTTCTTTTATAATGTTTTGCAGCTTTTAGCATATAGTTGCTACACATTTTGTTATTATTTATGCCTAATTATTTTATTGGGGGGGGCTCTTGTAAGTACTTTTACTTTTTAAAATTATTCGACTAGAGAGAAATACAATTGATTTTTAGCACAATGACATTATCTCCTGCAACTTGCTAAGCTTACTTATTAGTTCAAAGATTGTTTTTGTTGTTGCAGTTTGTCAGATTTCTTGGAGCTTTTAATGTGTCTCTTTAGGTTTTAATGTTAATGATTATCAGTGAGGTAGAGTGTATGTTTATGTATTTGTTGGCCATTTATATTTCCTCTTCTGAAAATTTTTAATTGATTCTATTGGTCATAATTTTTTTTTTAACCTTACAGGAACTCTTCCCAGTAGTATAGGTATTATTGATTATTATACATGTTTCAGATAAAGTTTGCTAGCATGTATCTCATATATTTTATGATGACTTTTGGTGAACTAAACCCTTCCTTTCAATGCAATTGAATATGTCAATCTTTTCCTTTATAGATCATGCTCTGCCACAAGTTTCAGAAATTCCTCCCTACTTTGGGTCATGGAGATATTCTTGCACTCAACCTTTTCTCCTAGGATCATTTTCTTTCTTCCTCAAGTACATGTTAGTGGTCTCTTTAGTGAAAGTAACTTGTTAATCCTCAGTTTGATTAGTTGTAAAATAGCCTTGATTTTCCCCTGAAAATTATCTCCTCTCTTATGCCCACCATGTTCTACACTTTCCCGTATAATCCTATTGTTTTCTGGCTTCCATTGTTGTGGTCAAGAGGACAGCTCGGGTGAACTGTTGCCGTTTGTAGGTATCTGTCATTGGCATCTGGCCACTTTTGGGGTCTTCTCTCTGGCTGGTGTTCTGTAGTTCATGCACTAGAGATACAGTGTGTTGAGATAGGAATATCTTTGTACTACTCCTGCTTGATATTAATTTTACATTCAATATACAAACATTTAATCACCTTGTCCTTGGTAGCTGGATTCTGCAGTCTGTGGCTTCCATTGATTTTCATTACTCTACACTTGTCTGCCCCTATATTTAGTGAATTCTGATTGGCGGTTCATGTCTGTGGCAGTCACTCAGTTCTGAATAATACTCTTAGAGAAATTCTGGGCAAAACAATTTCACGCATTTTGTCTAGCTCAATGGAAAGACATAAACCTTCAGGCTCTGCTTTTCATAACACCCCTGGCTTTCTGGAATAGCAGTTCTTAACTTACAACTAGCCAATGGATAGCTCCAGATATGTCACCTTATCCTCCCCCTGCCATTGTCTTAGCAGGAAAGACACTTTTGCAATTATAGAGAATTTATAGGCTTTAAGGAGAGAACAGGAAGGGGAAGTAAGAAGTAAGTATAGAATAAGAAGTGGACACAGGCGGGGATCTCTACGCAAGGAGTACGCGTACAGCTCTAATAAGGCTGGGAAACAACTCCAGAATCCTGGCCATCCCTTAAAATGCCCGTTCTATGGGCAAGTTCCCCCAGGCCCTAATAGTCAATCTCCAGATGAATTTTGGAAAATGGGAGCAGGGCTTGGGGCTGCCTGCGGCTGGGTGAGCTGACTTGTCCTTAGCAGGGGGGTCTTGAGGGATGGGAGCTCTGTTCTTTAGCTCCCCTGAACTGGGCTCTCCCACGTGGCTCCCTGTGACAGGTGCTGCTGATGCTGGTACTGCAGGGAGGTGCTAGGAGTCAGCTTTAGGCCACCTGCCAAGTGTGGTGCAAGAATGTGGCTCCCATGGCCAACACCCAGCCATGGTGGCAATTAGAGGGAATGCCACCTAGGACTTGTAGGACCAGTGGCTGCACCAGGACTTGTAGGATTTTAGACTCACATGGGACCAGCAGAGAAGGGTCGCTATCATTCACAGATGTCTACCTGGTGCCCAGCACAGGGCCTGCAGAGTCGTGGGGTGAGGGGTGCTGACGTGCGCCCCCCTTGGCATGAGTCTGTAGTAACTTCAAGACCACCTCTGAGTCTCCAGGCACTTCTTAGGTGATGAAAGGCCTGCCCACTCTAGTTTCCTTAGAGAGACCACAGACCCCTTCCACTGCTGACCACCAACTCACCTGTGCCAGGCTTGGGAGTCGGCCTGGATGGCTCAGTTCCTCTGTCCCTGTCAGGGCCTGAGAAGGGGTCCC